GATTTTGACAGATTTACTCCTTTAAGTTTTATGATTCACAAAAAAGGTTTTTATAAGACAAAACTGCAAGATTGGTCCATGTGGTATTCAAAAAACTTTGGATAGAGTCTAAAAAGTTTTCCACTTGCATAGAATGTTCAAAATCAAGGTTTTTCTGTGTTTTTGGTCCAAACAAATTTGAAAAGACGGTTATACCCTTTTACTTTCTTATATATATATATATATATATATATATATATATATATATATATATATATATATATATATATATATATTAATTTTTCAAATACTATTTTAATTTAAAAATAAAAAGAAAAGAAAATAATTATCCCCCAACCCCATCACCCTCACTCTCTCTCTCTCGATCTCTCTCTCTCTCTCTCTCTCCCTCTCTTATGGATGGGATGAATTAACAATGTTTGACTGAAAAGTCAAAATTGGATCGAGACATTTCTTAATTGTTTAATTGCTTCAAACACCATCTCTAATTCTTCCACCATCTTTCTCATCTCTGATTCGAGTTCTTACGCCAATGGAAACATCTTTCGTCCTCAACATTTCTATAACCAAGTTCATCATCTTTGAAATCCATCTACACCTGTAAAAATCTCTAAAGCTCTGCAAAAAATTAACTTGGTTTTGAAAATGATACAAGACCTTTTTTTCTCTCTCTCTCTCTCTCTCTCTCTCTCTCTCTCTCTCACACACACATACACACAATCATCTTCTTCATAAAAAAAACCCAGATACATTTCACACAAACAAACACACTTTGAACAAAATTGGAATCTCGATAAATGTTGTACAGGGACGCCATAGGATTAGATCGAGATGCTTAATCTCCAATTGGGTATCAGGTAAAAAACATAATCGGATCATCATTCTTTCAAAAACTTATTCAATCTGTTTCATATTTTATTATCTTTGTAAAAAACTTTGATGGGTTTACAAGGATTTATCAGAGGAAAACTATCTTCCTTCTTTAACACCACAATAATATCAAATCGTTTCAGGGGATTCCATTTTCCATTTACAATTGGGACTGAAAAACCCCATGACACTCGAATCAACCATTCCATTTTCTGTTCACAGGAAATGGTTTGTTGTATGATACTATCGGAATCGAATTTAGTTGATTCCAAGGGAAGGCATCGTTATAGATTTGTGAGAGAGAGGCGGCTCCTCCGGTGGTGGTGGCGATGGTCTGGCGAGAGCAGGTCTCTCCAATAATCTTCCAACAAGGAAGAAGAGAACCCATTAGGGAGAGAATTCAACAACTCTATGAAGCAGAACCGATGTCATTCGCCATTACCCCTTCCAACTTGCCCCTGATTGTGATGGTGATGCCGAAGCAGAACCGATGTCGGAGCGGAACCGGTAGTCACTACCCAACTCGATTTGGGTTCTTTCTAGTAATGGTGGTGGAGAATGACGGGTGCTGATGGAAGCACATTACATATCAGAGATAAGTCATGACTAAACTGCAAAAGAGGAAACACCAAATTAGAGCACCATCGATTTTTTCTCACATCAAATCATCGCCCATTCAAACTCACCTCCGACTCTCTCAGGTTTCGACTTCCTCTCTGCCACGAGCGTTGTGACATGGGGGTTTGATTGAAAGAGTGAAGATGGAGGATGAATGAAGAACTAAGAAGCATGTCCCCTCCCACTTTGCGTTTGAGAGAGAGAGAAAGAGAGAGAGAGAGAGAGAGAGAGAGAGAGTGGTGGGGTTGGGGGATACTTATTTTCTTTTCTTTTTATTTTTAAATTAAAATAGTATTTGAAAATTTAAAAAAATATATTTATAAAAAAGAAAATAAAAAGGGTATAACCGTCTTTTCAAGTTTTTTAGGACCAAAAACACAGAAAAACCTTGATTTTGGACCTCTATGCAACTGATAAACTTTTTGGACCATATTCAAAGTTTTTTGAATACCGCAGGGACCAATCTTGCAGTTTTCTCTCTTTATAATTTTTTTTCACAAAAACAGTTCATATATTTAAGATTTTTATATGTTAGCTTTGATTTGTATAAAAATTAAATTATAAAAAATGTCCCTATACTTTATGAGTTTTGCCACAAAAAAGGTTTTTAGTTTTAGAGTTTTAGCATAGTTGTTTTAGATTTTGATAGATTTACTCCTTTAAATTTTATAATTTACAAATAGGCCCTTATAGATGTTTTTTTAACAAAAATAGTCCATATGTTTAAGATTTTTGTATGTTGGCAGGTTTGCCCGAAAGAAAATTACAAAAATTGTCCCCGTAATTAACGAAAAACGTCATTGTATATTTTTTTACAGAAACAGTCCATATGTTTAAAAAAGTTATAAAAATAGTGATCGCCTAATAGAAAATTTGCAGACTACGCCCACATGCCCCCACAATATATTACCATGTTTCGTCCCTACATCACCACATGACTTTTATATATTTGCAGGTTTGTTCTTTACACTTTCGAAGTTACGCAAGTTTAGTCCCCCACAAAGTGGGGGTAGTAACTTACTAGTTTATATATAGTTTAAGAATGTTTAGAAAGTAATTAAATCTATTTTACACATAATTGAAGTAAACAAAATTTAATTATAAAAAGGCTAGATTGAAATAAAAATGGTCAGTGTATCCATAATTTAATCTCCAAATTAATTACACGTTGCGTGTTAGTCAATGACGCAGAGTAAGTTAGTGTGGCAATCAAGGCATAAGAACGTTATAAAAAGTGTCTTTTCATCACCTCGTAATGAAACCATTCACACTTATGAATCAAATAACATTCAATGTGTTTGATACAACATTTGAACGACATTTAAATGCATCAAAGGTCTCTGAACGACATATGAACAATTAAGGAACCATATATTCTTTTAACTATTATGATGTTGGAATTATCTAACACTAAATAGTAGTGTTCTTTTAACTTGTTATTAGTTGTTGATAAAACACTTCTAAAAACTGGTTATATTTGATATAAATCTATATTTATGTTGTAAAATAATTATAAATTAATACAAAATTGCCGCCTTACATCACGCCTTAAGAAACACCATGACTCGCCATGGCTCGTAAAGCTTGAGGCTTGACCTTGCCGCCATGCCACGCCTCACGCCTTTTAGAACATTGCTAAATAGTTTAGTTTTATCAAATATGTATACTACTATAAAATGAAAACATCAGTTTTTCTTGACAATGTTTGATGGTGGATTCCAACTTGAGTTTGATTATAGGATGCAACACCCTAATAGCAACTAGAAAATTTTGGTGATGTTCTATTAATAATATTTCACTGTTTAAAAAATGCTCAAAGTATTGCTGGTGTTCCATGACCGACTTTTTATGTGCTGCTGGGATGATACGATTTACCATATTTTTTACATGCATTAAAATAATAACATTGTGTAAATATGTAATACTAGGAAAAAAAGGAACAACAAATAATTAAAATGTATAATTATATCAATCTAATTTATCATAATTTTTTTTTGCTGCCGATAGATGATTGTTCTGTTTTATTTTAGAAGGTTTATATCTAACAAAAATTATCCCTCAATATTTGTCATGATGCACTTATAAAATGTGGCAACTTTAATTTTTTATTTTTGTAATTTACTCTTTATTGCCTTCCAGAAAGATTTCGCAGTTGTCACATAGACACAATCCACTGCTTGCCCGACCATTACGCTTATCAACGAACAAATGAAATCAAAACTAATTTTTATATATTTGATCCAACTATTTAAAGAGGGTTAGAGATCTATTAACTAAAATGACCAAAAGAAAACATGTTTTCAGTTTTGCAAAATGGGTTAAAGTCAAGAACCTAATTTATGTCGTATTGTCCGAACAAAACATCATTTTTTTGCTCAATGAATAATTCATCAAAGTCGTTTTTGGTTGACCGGATTGAAACCAGTTCGATAGTTCAGATTCAAAAACGGATTAGACTCCCGTTCGTAAACCGCATTAATCTGGCAAAACCGGATCAAACCAATAAAAAACTAGTAAGTCAAACTGTTTAAAACTGGATCAGATGAAAGTCGAACCGAATCGTTGGTGACGTCATCAGATCCGAATCAAATCAACAATTGGTGCACCTCTACTGTGCACTATACGAACATGATGTAGCGGAGCCACCACCGAAGCCACATCAATCTAGCGTGACCCTTGGATATGCCTAAGAGTTTTTTGAATAATGTAAAATTGTAAAGTGAAAAGAAATTCGTTTAAATATTGTAGAACACTTTTATCCATTAAGGCCCTTTTGGCAGGCCGAGACCATTTTTCATCATCAAGGCAGGTGCTAAAGACTCATTTGAGACCATTTTTCATCATCAAGGCAGGTGCTAAAGACTCATTTTGTACTTCATGGTTTCGTTGTTAGTCTAGGAAATTGCCAAAATATTATTTACCAGGTGTGAGACTCATGTATTACATAAGTTTAATTAAAAAAATTAAATATGAAATTTTAACAATTTGAAAAAGTTTGAATTTATAAGTAAAATAAGAAAAAATTTAAATTATTAAAATTAGCAAGGCTTTAATGTATTGAATACATTACATATATAAACCATTTCTAATAAATACCTTACATATATATTAACTATATTACCTTATACGTGTTAAATTTTTTTAAAAAATTAAACATTAAAATATAAGCAGTAAACATTTTTAAATGTAACACTTTCAAATAAGAAAGGTAGAAACATATTGATTGCAATTTAATTTCATATATAGTATATTTAATATCTTACATATATAAATATATGACTTTAATTTTAAAATTTGAAACAAATCAGAAATTGACAAGTGGATAATATTTATTTCAAAAATACCATAAAATGACAAGTGTCAAAACTCATGATAGATTGACAAGTGGCAAAAAAAAAAAAAAAAAAAAAAACCTTCATTAAGTTTTTAATAAAAACTATTTTAGGTTGGTTATGACAATTTTTTTCGAAAATTAACCGGTTTGAAACTTGCTCAAATAATGAAAACAATTGAATTAACCTAAAAGGGGATGCTATTTTCTTGAAAACCAGACACCGGATTGGCCGGTCACCAGCCCCCTCACTTATTAAAACCCTCTAGAAACCTCTCCTCATCGCATTGTTCTTCACTCTCTTATCGTCGACACCCATTCCCAATACACTTTTTTTTTTCTCCAACAAGCGTCATGGGTACGCTGAATTTAGTAATTTTTATCAAATTATTCCTGTTCATCTTCTTTTTCTTGTGTTTTTGATCTAACTTCTCTATTTTCTCATTTTAATTGTTGTTCTTTTTGTTGTCTAGGCGGCAAGATCAAGATCGGAATCAACGGTACCAGATCTTATCCACTTTACACTTTTATACCGTTTAATTTCTACAGCTGTTCTTCTGGGACGATTTCGAGTGGCTTAATGTATATTTAACTTGCAGGATTCGGAAGAATCGGTCGATTGGTGGCTAGAGTAGCTTTGCAGAGAGACGATGTTGAACTTGTTGCTGTTAACGATCCATTTATCTCTGTGGAGTACATGGTTAGTAATTTTGATCATCTGACTGTATCTACAGTAGATCTCGGGTTTTAGGGTTTTAAATTCTGATCGGTTTAGTGCTTGCTCTGAACTTAGTTCAGTAGACAGTAGATCCGTGAATTTTATAGTGTTTTGAGTTTGAGTTTAACTTCAATCATGATTTCATTGCAGACATACATGTTTAAGTATGACAGTGTTCATGGTCAATGGAAGCATCATGAACTCAAGGTTAAGGACGACAAAACCCTTCTTTTCGGCGAGAAACCCGTCGCTGTTTTTGGTTCAAGGTGCGTCTGTCGCATGCCCAATTTTGGTTAAATTCATGTTTTCTAGATAAGGCTGATTAATCTCCTGATATTATTAAAGGAACCCAGAGGAGATCCCATGGGCCCAGACCGGAGCTGAGTACGTCGTGGAATCCACCGGAGTTTTTACCGACAAGGACAAAGCGGCTGCTCACTTGAAGGTATACATCCTTTTAAGCGATTTTACAACTTCCATGACTTCCATTTTCTTGTGTACTCCGAGATGAAAGTTTTCATGTTCTTCATAAACTCAAAAAATTCTTATTATCTCGTTTTACCCATATCTTTAGGGAGGTGCTAAGAAGGTCATCATCTCTGCCCCCAGTAAGGATGCTCCCATGTTTGTTGTTGGTGTGAACGAGAAGGAATACAAATCAGATCTTCACATCGTTTCAAACGCCAGTTGCACCACTAACTGCCTTGCCCCTCTGGCCAAGGTTATAAATGACAGATTTGGAATTGTTGAAGGTCTTATGACCACTGTTCACTCCATCACAGGCAAGTTTTCTCAAATTTTCTTGATATTTTTTGTATATATATTTACTTCAATTCTATTAACAGTTTATTTTGATTTGATTATGATTCAGCTACACAGAAGACTGTTGATGGACCATCTGCTAAGGACTGGAGAGGTGGAAGAGCTGCTTCATTCAACATCATTCCCAGCAGCACTGGTGCTGCTAAGGTATTTATTTATTTACTTACAATTTACTATTTAGTCCCTCAAGTTTCAAATACTGCTATTTTTGTTCATAGAGTTTGATAAATGTTTGGAAATCTTGATAGGCTGTTGGAAAAGTCCTCCCTTCATTGAACGGGAAGTTGACCGGAATGTCTTTCCGTGTCCCAACTGTTGATGTCTCTGTTGTTGATCTGACTGTTCGATTGGAAAAGTCTGCAACTTATGATGAGATCAAAGCTGCTATCAAGTAAGCAAAACTTTATTTCATTTTATACTTTATCAAGGTTCTCATGGATGTAATTTGTAATATTGTTTGTTTGGGCTTTGTGATCAGGGAGGAATCTGAAGGAAAGATGAAGGGGATCTTGGGTTACACTGAAGATGATGTGGTGTCCACAGACTTTGTGGGTGACAACAGGTATATTTTTGTTTCTTGTTTCTTTTTGTAGGCATAAGTGGACCACATGTGCATATATTTTGTATCAAGATTAAAAAAGAATGGGAATTTAATAAGTGGAGAATTTATGTGATTTTAACAGGTCGAGCATATTTGATGCAAAGGCTGGAATTGCACTGAATAACAATTTTGTGAAGTTGGTTTCGTGGTATGACAACGAGTGGGGTTACAGGTACTTATTCTTCTTATCTTTTCTTTAGATTTTTTGTATAAATTTATGTGGGTTTTTATTTATTGAAGTCTTTTTTTTTTATGCAGTTCCCGAGTTGTTGATCTGATTGTTCACATGGCATCTGTGGAGTAAGTTGTTTTTTGAGTTGGAAGTAATAAAAGTCTACCTATCCATTCCCCCATGTGTTTAGGGTTTTGATTGATGGGTGGAGAAATGTTTTGGTGTTATGTTGTTATTGCTGGTTTATTATCAAACTTTATAGTGCAATTTTCAGACATTGAGGTGTGTAGTAGTATCAAGTTGGTGTGAAAACTTGTCTTCACTTGCTCTGTTTATTATTGGTGTTTTGAACTAGCCGGCTTAAATATGGTGAAGATTTTATGCACAAATTAATTTTCCAGGTTTTCCTAAAGTGAAATATAGTTTTGAGTTTTTAATTTGAAAATACAATGAAAAATAGTCTTATCTCAAGTTTGGAAGTTGTTATCGTACAAGACAAGTTTGAAAAAAAAAATGTCGACCCAAGAACCAAATTGAAGGCTGGTTTCTGGAAAACGACATGATTAGGTGCTTTGAACAGAGGAATTGGACTCTATCAGATATGATTCGATCCAAATCTAACAACTCTTCTTTTATCTTTTGGAGTTGATTCTTTATGTGCGTTGTACATTTTTGAATGATTCCAACTAAAAATGATGGTTAAGAGAATAACAACTATTGCATTTGGGATGGTTAACCTAAGTTGTGTTAATTGAGAATTTGGAGTTTCGAAGTCCATGTTCTACGTTATCTGAATAAAGAATATTTGACATATTGAATTGCCTTTTTCAACTCCATCAAAGACAAAGTCTAAGATTTTATAATATATTCTGGAAATTGTTTTCTACAACTCTACTAAGGATAATTTTGATGCTTATGGCAATGAGCAAGTACAGAGATATCCTCTTATAAGCTAAAGTTATCGCGGTCATATAGCCCCGCAGTGGTATAGTGGTTTTTTAGTATTATGTATAGGAGTAGGTTAGATTTGCCGTTTTTGGTTTTTTAGTATTATGTATAGGAGTAGGTTAGATTTGCCGTTTCAAGAAAAACGTATTATGTATAATTTTTATTATATATTTATACAAAATTTATATATTAGATTATTAATACTATATACAATTAATATCATGAAAAATCATAACATAATCTATATATAATATTCTAGTATAGTAATATGGAAACTAAAAAGTGTCAAAATGTTATCACAACTCAAGTCGTTCGTGGGTTCTAAGGACTGAAACAGACGAGAAAGGAAAGTTGTCATTTGTTGCTTTGTAGTTTGTAATTAATTATATTTATTATTTGGATTTATTAAGACAAAAATTGTAGTTCACTAGTTAGAAAAATAAAGATTTAATATTGAAATAACACACAATCATTTTTTTCTTTGTCAAAGTATCCCAATATGTATGAAATTGTAAAAGCGGGTATAGCGTCGCTATAGCGTTGATGAGGTTCACAGTAAATAGCGGTCAATAACGCAGCTAATAGCGCCATTGCTATTCATAAACGCTACTTAAAAATAGCAGTTCAGTAACACCGCAAAACGCTATAGCGCGCTATTGATAACATAACTTATAAGAAATGAGTGAGTTGTGAAGTCTTTGGAGAGTTCAAAAGCCATACTAAAAAATGGTGACACCCATTTGTGAACGGTTTATGTCAATCTGCTTCAAGGTAGGTCCATGTTAGATGTCAATACCATTAATGATATTTTTGATGGACTAATGTTTGAACACTGAACCTCTTGTGTGGAGTTCCATATTTCAACAACTAGGTTTCCATCGTGGAGGCCCAAAAGCCATACTTTACAACACTTTCCGTAATTACTAGCATACAACACGTCGGGCTTGTGCATTGATTGTAGAGGTGCAACAAACTAGGGATGAGCAACGGGCCGAACCTGGACCTGACCAGCCCGAAAACCGAAAACCCGAAGACCGAAAACCATGAATTACCTTACCCGAAAACCGGACCGTTTTGGGTGTATCCGGTCCGGGTTCGGTCCGGTCCGGTCCGGTTCCAGGTACTAAACCGGGTTTCGAGTTTTGGACCGAATAAGACTTTCGTAGTGTTGTATAAGGTTTCAAGTTTTGTTTGTCATGTTACTCTCTAGTCTCTAGCATACGATTTTAAATTATAATCTTACTATATAATATCCATCATTTGTATTTTTGTTGTTTGAACAGTTCGACCAAAAAATACATAAATGAAGATGAATGCAAATGTAATAAGTAGCAAACCAAATTTACCGAAATAATAATAACCAAACTATCATTGTACCAAAATAATAATATCCATGTACTAAACCAAATTACCATTATACCATATCAAACAATTTATGAAAAAAAAAAAACAATTAAACTTCAATCGGCTTCTTTCCATTCCTTCTATCTTCTTTTTCCTCCATTGCCGCTTCAATCTCTATATATTTAACACCAAAACAAAGTGAGTATCTAAATTTTTTAACAAACAACAAATAAATAATGGGTTTGCGTGATTTTCTTACCCAATCTTGTATACATACTAACGCTTCAACAATCGGCGTATTCAAACGTGTTCTATACTCATCTAGAATTCGACCGCAAGTACTAACGGGTTGTATGCTCATCCCTACAACAAACCATCAGACATTCAAGTTTGGAAAAATATCGTGTATATCTTTTATTAAACATCAAAATATCATATTTGCCAAACTTAATTTCGAAATATCATATTTACACTTCATAAAATTTTAAAATATCATATATGTCAATTTTAAACATCAAAATATCATATATGTCCTTAAATATCAAAATATCATATATGTCTTTTTTAAACATCAAAATACCAATGATAATATCTAAAATATATTCCATCTAAAACATGTCAATATTAAACAACAAACACTAGCAATCGGTGCATATATTCCATGGAGAAGGCTGAAGATGAAACATTTTGTTTGTTAAGAGAACGACATTCCAACAATTTAGAAGTAGACGTTCCAATATTATAGATGTAGGGATAATATGGTTAAAGTTTTTAATTATTATAATAATTCTAAGATATAAAAATGATTATAATCTATTAAAAACATTGTACAAAAAAGATTTGGGCAAATATGATATTTTGAAGGTTTATAAAGGGTAAATACGGTATTATGAAATTAAGTTGGACAAATATGATATTTTGATTTTTAATACAGACATATATGAAATTCTTTGACTAAGGTCCAAAATCAAATAAGGACATACAAGACATACAAGTTGTCGAGATCCGGATTATATATGTGATTGTAAGATCCTAATAAAAACAATTTAAAAGATAAAAATGTATATTTATCTATCAGTTAACAATAAGTATTTCAAAACATAAAAAATCATCTTCAATACGTCATTTTATAATAAAAATTGAAAATGAGTTTTTTAGGGTTCATATTTGGTTCAATTAGTTGGTCCATGACACAATCTTATTTTTTAAAATAATAGTAATAATAACGATCTTACAACCTTATGAATTATCTTACGATCCTATCCGACTACGATCATAGTATGATTGAGATTGATTTACCTAGATATGATCGCATGATCGTACTGTTGTATTATCATGATCATGATTTTAAAAACATGAATACATATTGTTTTATGTCTATTCAGAGAATATGAATTAAAAGGTTTATAGTAAATATGTTTAATATAAAAAAAGCTTTATCAAGAATACAATTTGATAAATGGTTCATAAGCATGAATACATGCATGCATGCTATATTGAATATCAGATCAGATTGACACACAAGAAAACAAACAAATAATATTTAGAATCATATATCGATTAGTTGCGAATAATAAATCCAATTATTATTAATAGTTACCAAGTTTTGTCTAGAAACTAGATAAGTCCTTCGTGATCAAATCTGATTATAAGAAAGATAGAAGAAGAATGTCCTTTTATCAGATGAAAGTAAAAGACGTAACAGTTACATTAAAACCAACCTCGTAGTTGCAGATTTTCAACAAGTAAAACAAATGCATGGAAGAAGCTCCCGTCCTTAAAAGATTTTTACATTGCTCTAAGGCTGTAAGCTTCAAATACTCGAGATTTGATGCAGAATATTCTTCGTTCCAATAGCTATGGAAGAAGGAATAAACGGAAACCGATTACTCGGAAAACAGAAGAAACTGGGATTTTGCAGTTTCAAAAATCGCAGAATGAGAGGGATGGATTTCTGGTGCAGAATAAATGAGACCTGAGAGGTCCTATTTGTACTGAATATGAAAGTTAGGATCCCCAAAAAATCGGATCTAATAACGACGTCTAGCCACTCACAGGCTGCCATCTGACAATTCGAATTTCAAACCGATGACGTTGTTATTTGGATTATCATCCGATTTGAACTGGTGTTTATCCAAAACTTTTGGAGGGGTTGGTCTAACCGAATTGAACCGATCTCGCCAAGTGCGCCGAAATAGCGCCATTTCATGCATTCGTGTTATCGGCTAGGCTATGCATGCACGTGTGGGGTTGGCCCATCTCTTGATCCACTTAAAGCCTTTGAAGGCCTATCAAGAGAAAGACATTATAAACTCACTAAATGTTTCTTCCCCCACCAATGTGGGATATAAGGTGTAATTAATTGATAAAATCAACCACATCGTTTATTGAGGTTTAGATAACTTATATAAAGATATTTACAAAAACGACCCCTATAAAAAGGAGTGTAACTAGGATACAGATAAATACAATAAATGAGATATTTTATCCTTTAATACCACCTTCAATCGAAACAGTGGTGGTATGTGACGAAGCATTACATGAAAGTTCTCAAATTGAGCATGTGGAAGACTTTTCGCGAAGATATCTGCCACTTGAAGATTGGTTGGAACAAACTTTGTGTATAGTTTTCCCGAGTTGACAAATTCCTTGATAAAGTGATAATCCAAGTCAATATGTTTGACACACTTATACGAGATAGGATTTTGAGTCATAAATAGAGCATTTTTTTGTCACAAAGAAGAATAGGGCGATCCGATGGTAAAGCATGTATCTCCCGTAGAAGATGAGTTATCCAAACAATTTATGCATCATTGTTGCCATAGCTCTATATTCAGATTCACAACTAGACCATGATACAGTGGGTTGTTTCTTGGCACTCTAGGACACAAGGTTTCCACCAAGAAACACCAAATAACCATATGTGGAGTGACGTATTTCCAGACAACGGGCCCAATCAACATCAGAGTAGCTAACTATAGAAGCTTTTTGAGGACGACTATAGGTGAGGTAAAATGAAATGGTGCCTTTAACATATCTGAGAATTCTCTTAATTGACTGAAAATGAGCGATAGTTGGAGCATGAAGAAATTGAGAGACTTGATTAACAACAT